AATTTTGTTTTTATAAAGATTTCAAAAATTGAGAAAATAATTAAATCAAATTTCGGAATAGTGGCTCCAGAAAAACAGACATTTCACTTTTACCTGAAGGTATATATTTTTCATTCACTAAAAAGTAAAATTAAACTATAGAAATATTTGTGGCTCTATTTCGTATTGTTTAGAAAAAGATAATTGCTTAAGTAAATTTTCCTCTTAATTATAATTAAAATTTTCCATTTTTATTAGCTGTTTGTAACAATTATGAAATGCCCAATAAAAATGTAAAATTCTATGACAAATAATTATGAGGGATAAAATAAATATCATACAAAGTTTTATATAATTATATTTACTAAAAATTCCCAAGAAAAATAAAATCAAAGAGATGGCAATACAAAAAAATATTTTTCATATACTTCACCCCCATACAAGCGAGCTTATGCGAAGCAAGAATGTCTATTATTATTATTTACTATGGCGCTCCCGGACGTCTTATAAATGATTATTTAAGAAAGTTACTCTAATATCACAAACATTACATTACTATTTCGGTACGTTAACTATCTTTGGCTAACAAAAATCAGAAATTGCATAACAAATAATTAATTTACTTGATATGAAAACTAATGCCTAAGTAAATAAATTTTTAAAATAAACGAAAAACAAAACAACAAATTCTTCTTGAATCTTAGGAAATCAGACAAAAGCAACCATCCATATAAACTGAAACAGAAAAAAATTAAATGCAGTAACTTCAAATAATTTTGTTTGTCTTTTAGACATTGCAGCAGCCCTCATACTATCATTATAATACTTTCTTATTATTAATAGTAGACAAGTTTCAACTAAATGAGAAAAGACATCTGTTTTATGTTCTTTATATGTAAACCAGAGACGGCTTGTGGCCTAGTCTGTGAGGAAGCTGGCTCATCCTATATACTTTATACAAATATATATTTCTATTAGAATACAATGAAATATTTCTGCTTTTTGAATTCTTATAGACATATATTTGTATATAGGGTGTGCCTTTTAAAAGTAGTCTCCTCATAGACTAGGCCACGAGTCGCCTCTGATGTAAACCATTTAAAATCAACATGGTCTGGCAAAAAAGTTTAATTATTTGAATTATGTTGTCAATATGACCCAAAAGTTGTGAAACTATTTCAAGAATTTTTGAAAGAAATTCAATAACATTTCTTTGTACATAAATAAAACGTCTTTTATCAAAATTTTCTTTAAAATAAGTAAAAGTATCGATGGTCTTCTAACATGTCTGTAAATTAACTTTACACTCTTTTCAGTCAAAACTATTAAGTTTCTTAATAAACCCTGCAACATAACTAGTGGCCTGACTCAAATTCTGCTTTATTTATTAATTTTGTATATATTATTAAAATGAACTTTATCCACACAGGACTCTGTTTGGAGGTGTGATAACAATATTACTAAGTACTACTATCTTTGGTGTATCTGGTTTTGAGGATACTAAAGCAAGGTAAAGCAAATCTTTTAGCAGTCTTGAACGATTTGTGTTTGTAAACAATTTTGTATCAAAATATGATTTTCACATAATGTATAATGATTGGGGTTGTAAGTGAAATGTTTAAAATACGACACCATTCCGTTCTTTGATCAATATCAGAAGGAAATTTAAAAATGTTTGTTCTTAAAATTTACGTTTGGAATGGGCCTTATAAAATGTACTATAACAATTAGAAATTATGCGTTTATAATGAATTCTGCCTGGTAAAGACATGTTAAAGCATCAAAATACCTTTACTTGATTTTAAATAATCCTAAATAACATATCTAAAAAAATAAAAGTAGTTCCACTCACATGTTTTCTTCGACAACCAAATCATAACATAACCACACATTTGTTTGATTTTGATGTTATTTGTTGACAGCGCGCGCGGGGCCCGCTATAGCGGGCAGCCAGCAGTCATGCAGCGGACAGAAAGCCATCTTCACATAGTACAAATAACTAAGTGAAGGTATGTTTTTTTTAGTTTGTTGTAATATATGAATTAAAATTTTTGAAACAACACTTTTTGTGTGTTACTGAACGAGATGTTATTAAATTAATCAATGTGCTTTACATTTTAATACAATTTTGCTATTGTAAAACGGACTTCAGAGCACCCAAGCGCGGAGGAGTATGCGCAGAAACGTGTTTACGTATTGTGCATATGATATAAACCCCCGTGATATGCCACTACTTCACATACCTGTTCAGGAAATATTTTACTATCGTCCACTCTGGGTGTACAGTTTTGAAATACACAATCTTAAATATGGTTCTACAAAATTCAATATCTACCATGAGGGTCAAGCCAGGAAAGGCCAAGATAAAGTCTGCATATTTCTCAAAGGTTACCTTGTATCAAACATTCCTGAAGAAGTTACTGAACTGCACATTTTTTTTTGACGCGTGTCCAGGCCAAAATAAAGATAATACGGTAATTTGATTTTTAATGTCTTTGCAAGCAACAAAACGTTTTAAAAATCTTCCAATATTTCAGAAGCAACTCATTCTTGCCCTGTGAAGGGGATTTTAGAGTCCCAAAAAGATGGGTTAGAAGATGCGATCGTGTTTATATTCCAGAGAAATATGAGGAAGTGATATTGTCATTTCGATAAATTAAACCATTTACCAATAAACAAATTACCTACGGAGATATTTTACAAAAAAATTATAACTGCTGTAGGAAGCAATGAAGAATTTTCTCTATCAAATTATAGGCAGTTTGTATATGACTTATGACTTATGACTTATGAATATATAGCTGGTCTAGTATCTCATAGCTTTAAACTAATGAAGCAAAATAAAAATTGTCCACCCCTTCCTACCAAATGCGCATACGAACAACAAATTCGAATAAATGTGAAAAAAATAAATGCCGTAAAAAAAGGTAATATTGAATTACCTTGGAAATGACATAATCGGTCCCTTTTTTATACCCGGTAATCTCAATGGCGAAGTGTATCTGGAATTATTAGAGAAGGCTATTTATCCTGCCCTCGTGCAAGTATTGGAGAATGAAAAAGACCATCATACCATCATTTTGCAACAAGATGGCGCGCACCACCTCATTTCGTACAACCTGTCCATCAATTTTTGGATGAGAATTTTCCTCAATGCCGGATTGGAAGAAGGGGGTATATTGAGTGGCCACCCAGGTCACCCTACCTGAATCCACTGGACTTTTTTCTATGGGGCCATCTAAAATCTAAGATTTACGCTACCCAGTCCGAATCACTGGATGATCTGCGAAATCGTATAATTAATGAATGTCGTTAAATTACACCAGACTTGTTGCGTAATGTACGGGAACGTTTTAAACAAAACTTATTTTACTGCATGGAAGTGAATGGTGGCCATTTCCAGCATTTAATAAACTAGTCACAGAAGTAAATATTCTTTTTGTTTGTTATGAAGTAGACATTTTTTCCATATTACCTTTTCCACTGTTTTAGCTGTTATCAATAAAAATTTTGACGCGAAGTTTTAGGTTCAGATAGTACTCGAAGAGATCTTTAAAATGAGGTATTGCAACACCCCTACCCCTATTCAAAATCAGGGGGTTGTGCTTCCCCCTGTTAGAGGGTTGAAGTTACATGGATGAAAATACCAAAAAAGTTGTTCCCCCTTAAATCAAAAATCGACGGGTTCGAGCTTTTTTCCCGATTTTTATTTTAAAGTCGTAAAATTGGGGTGTAAAGTTTTCGTTGACCCACCCTGTATATTTAAATGACTATAATAAAAAGCACTATTTAATTTCGCCTTCGTTTAAAAGCTACAATTTTATCAAAACTCTGTTAAATATCAAGCTAAAAATCTAGTATGCTGGTGTCATCTTTATTTTTATACTGTTGATTGTTTTCCAAATTTCCCTCTTATTTATTTTTTCTGATAAAATTAATAAAATTGCACCTTTGGAACAAAGCATCTGCGGACCCATGTTATTAGGAACTATTTATTTTATTTTTAGGTAAGGAATCACCCAACGAGCAATGTCACATGTTTTTTGAAACACCCTGTATATTCATTTGGGCATAGTTTTGTTATTAGTCTTGTAATATTTAGCCATAATGCTTTATGACTTGTCCAAAACATTTTTGTAAATGTCTTAAAGAAAATAAACACTTTTTAAATTTTAGGTATTTTATTATTATTTAAGGAAATAGGTACCTATGCCAATAATAAATTTTTTAATTTTGCACATCTATTTTTTTAATTTTGTAATTGAAAAATATGTTTTAAATGTTATCTCTAATTGTGGTTTTTCTGCTTATACAAATAGGTATCTTCAAATTAGAAAACACTACATAAATACAAATTTGTATTTGATATATAACGTAAGTATTCATTGAATTATAATTATCAAAATTATTACTACGAACTCTTTAAACAACCCAAAAAAGTCCGGACCTACTTAAAGCGTCATCTTGTTACCATCCTAATTTAATGTAAGTCTAGTAGTACCACACTATTTTAAATAGTTGTATGGTACGTCATCTTCTCTCTCTAATCCAGCGTTTCTTAAAGTGTGCTCCGCGGAGCCCCGGGGCTCCGCAACGTCTCTGTGGGGGCTCTGCGAAAATAATAGCCATAATAAAAAAATACTAAAGGAGTACTGTACTATGAGGAAGTTCGGGGACTTTTTTTTTAGAAATACCCTGGGGTTGCAAAGTAAAATAAAACCTATGTAATTATTATTTTAGGGCTCTGTCAAATATTTCGCTTTTCAAAAAAGTTCCGCCGCCAAAAAAGTATGAGAAACACTGCCCTACTCAATGGGTTAATAATAACGTAGATTTATTTGCCTTTTGACTTCCCCTCGTATGACTTGCCACTGCATTGCAACTGCAATTTTGTTATGTCGTCATGACTTAAAATATGCTGTTATGTATAATGTGTTGCCTACCTCTAACTGTTTAAATATTTGTTTTCATTCTCTATTTAAAAAAAAAAACATAAATGTTTTATTTGCAACTATACTTACTTTTTGTGCTGTGGAAAAAACTCCATAGGGCAAATTTTCGATTGGAAAATCACAAAATTTCGTATATTTTAAAAAGCACTTCATCGCAATTAACCTTCAAGATATTTCAAATAGGCACCACTTGCAAGAAGCACTGTTTAAGATATGAAGCACTTTATACCGGTCTGCACTCAAGGTCAATGCGTTATGATTAAAAATCAAAGTAAAAAGTAATAATATGGTATTGGTACCCACTTTCACGTTGTTTAGTTTTTAATAACTTCTTTGCAACGTGGAAAATATTTTGAGAAATATTTCTAATTCTATTTTTATATGATAAGCTATTGATAATATTGGTAACAATGTAAAGGTCATTAACATTTAACCCTAAAGGTTTAAGTAATGTTAGTACGGGGGACGTACGATACAATCTATTATAGTTTATAGTCAAATTTTAGAATTTTAGAACTTCAAGGTGAATATGACGTGAAACGACGTCCCTTGATAGCTGGGATATTTGAGATAAAAAAATGTTTCAAATTAAAGTTGTAGAGAGCATCCAAGAGAAATGAAAAAAACTCTTAACAAATTTATCTAACCTGTGCGACCTGGGCTGGAACGATGTTCACACTCTGAAGTTATCGCTGAAAAGCGACATTCTTTGCGATAGTTAAGTGAATTGGTACTATGTTCACAAGCATTGAAATATCGATTTCATCTTCGGATAAATTCGGCAAAAGCGACATTTTTCCGTCAAAACCACGTCTAAACAAAGGGACTTTAATTGTTTCAAGTAATTATGTTGGATATTACATCGCAGAACACTTACCTTCTTTGCATTTGAATTTAAAGTATATATAACCATTATATATAACGAAGGGTCATTAGTTAGTGATTTTGAATTTTATTCGTTCAATTAATTTATTTGCTAAAAATGAGCTTACGACCTGAGCATTACGAAGGTATTCTCAATTATGCGGATTAGTATCCAGGCATAATTACAAATAAATTTGCGGATACAGCCGGAAATACATGCTCAAAAAAATGGGAAAACTGGTTAACATCTTAATTTTTTTAGAATAAAATAATTTCGGAAGTTAAAAATATTATTTGAGGTTATTTTTCATTATTTATTTGACAAATATAAGAAAAGGCATCATTTTGTCCTCTCTTTTCCACTCATGCGCGACTGCCTCTGAGGTGTTGTTTTCTGCCGACAGAAATGTAGCGACAAATCGCTTCAAAGCTATGCGGTTAAATGAACATAGTTCCAAAAGCGACATTTGTAAGACGATATCGCTGAAAAGTATGAATATAGTTTCCCAACTGTAGCCACCACAGGTTGCTTCGCAATTTTTTTTACATAAAATTATAAGAAACCTAACCTGTGTGGCCTGGAGGTATCGTGGGTTGTTTCATATAAAATGATTACATAAAATGAGAAATATTGACAAAAAAAATATTTAACTAATTTACCTAACCTGTGCCATCGCAAGTTGCTTTAAAAAATAAAATAAAACAAATGAGATTAATTAAAAAAATTTACCTAATCCGTGCGTAAAATTTAATCGATCGCTCACGCACAGGTTAGCTAAATTGGTTAAGTTTTTTCTCATTTTAATATAACTTTTTTGCGAAGCAATACGCGATGGCTCGAGGCCGCAGAAGTTAGGTAAATCAGTTAAGTGTTAAGTGTTAAGGGCTGCAAATGTATGCTTTTTTGTTTGTTTATTACTTTATTTTTTTAAGTATTTTGCCCAGCATTGAATAAATAAATAAATCGTTATTGCTTTTATGACTTTTTCATACTTTCCTTAAGACATTTACTGAAAGCTCAAAGTATTGACTCTGCTGTGATCTTATTTACAGGGTGTTCCATTGGAAAAACTGAGTAAAAGGTAATCCTGAGTTTAAGTTGCTCCTATATGGGAAAAACGCCATTCGGTAAAATTATGAATAGGAAATGACCTTTCACCATTTTCGAGGATATTTGATGGCAAAATGTTTCTATTCCAAATCATTGATATTGAGATGAACCCCACCACAAATTCCGAACATACAATCCCATATTTTTGAGAAACTTACTTCCAAAGAAATTCAATCTAAAAATTTAACTTTGATAAGTCACAGGTTTATTGGACACTATATGTTTATTGCTGGTTATTTTTGGAAGATAGCTTTCATTGCCCTCTACAACTTTTATTTAAGACATTTTTTTCCTATCTCAATTAGGGAAGTAGCTATATCGTCCACCCACGCATTGTTGATACACCCTGTATTGTTAAAGAAATAGAGCAGTGACTTCTATCCCCGAAGGAGGGTTCTATAGGAAATAAAACAATCAATAAATGTTCATTTTTTTTACATTTTAATTTTTTTTATAATTTAATATACACATTTATTACAATACTGATATTTTTCGATGCTCTCTGATTTGGAAGCCCTAAACATGGTTGACACTAAACTAATTGTTACGTCAACCACAATAACTACGTTTACTTCATACAGTTATTACATCTAATACAAGTATATAAAGTTCAGCATTTTGACGTTTTAGATACCTAATAGATATTTTGAGGTTAATCAAAACGCAATTATGCTGGTTGCAATTATTGGAAGACTTTCAATTTTGTTGTTACAAAAATAATGATTAAAATTCATTGACAATAAAAATTTAATAGAGAAATATTGCCTTGCACAGTATAATACACTTTTATGGTATTTAATTAAAAAGTAGTGCATAAATGGGAGCGCAAAATGAGTTAAGGTGGTTCAGGTCAATGACCTTATTAGTTGACATTTGTCCTAAGTAGGGATGAGCATAATTGTGCTATCAGAGTATACTAGATTACGTAGAAACATTTTATTTCATTAAAATTCAAGCACTTGTAATAGTAGGTACCTATATATCTATATAATACATTTTGTACAAAATAAATACTAAGAAGTTAAATCGAGGGACTGAATTATAACTTAGCTGTATCAGAATTTTTACCTAATTAAATGAATACTATGTCCATAAAGTGAACTTCCAATATATCTCTATCAATTTTTTAATTAGCTAGGTTATAAAATTTGTTGAATAAACTACACTCTTACATTTCAATCAAATTCAACTCTCGATAATTTCTAATAGAATTTTGGCAGTAATAACGTGTTTGTATATAAATAATTCTGATTTTCATTTGTTTTTTTTTTTCGAAATAACTGATCAGGATGAAAATACATAAAGAAATACCCAATACCAAACCCAAAAGTATATAGTGTTTAACTCGCAAAGAATACTCACTGTAGGAAATGAGTATCAAATCCTTGTTTGTAAACAATAAACTATTGTGATTCTAGTTTTGCAATACAAGGCATAGTCAGAAGTATAAAGTTTGTAAATATCTCTTGTCTATAGTCTTCGTCTGGACCACGTGATGTATTTCTTGCTGTTGAAAAAGTCCTTGACAGCGTTTTAGCGTAGTACTCAATAAAATACAGTGCATACAGTAAGTGTAATAAGTCATAAATAAATTAATTATTGATCATATAATTTTCGGTTAATACCTGACCTGACTATACCTTTTAATTTATATTTATATTTAAATTATACTATTAACAACATATTTCATATTTAGCACAATTGGTTGCTATGATCAAACAAATTAAATCAGAAAACTAATTAACATATTTATAAGCTCTTTTTTGAATTATAATAGTATAATAGTAATAACAACAAAACATTTCAACAATAACACCACTACTGAATTTAAATAAAGATAAAAAGCAGTGGTACATGTTATATATATATATAGTGATATTTTTTTGAGTCAACAACTGTATAAATATACATTTAATAAATATATGGAATCACCCAATGGAAGGTTATTTGTTGTACCTACCAACGATAAGCGTGAATAAAATTGTTTTTAAAATACAAAAAACATTGTTCTCTATACATCTCAATTATTGCGTTAGCTACACATTTTTACTGATTAGAAATACAGCCTAAAATACATTTTTTTGGTTGCTTTTTGTTTAAATACATATATATTTTAGCGTAATATACACATTTATAAAATATACATATGTCGGAGGAAAATGTTAGAAAATATATTAGAACAACTACATGTATACCAAATTTTGCCCGAATTCATTTTTTGCCGTTTCAATTGACTTTTCAGAATTGAATGAAATTTTTCTTTACAAAAAACGTGTTAAAAAAGTATTAAAACTATGTTTATCTGTAAAGATATATATTCGCTTTCATTTGGAGATATCACTCATCAAAATACTACTATTAACATCATTTTTAATATTTCTGATAAAATCTAATTGACAAAACACTTTTTACCAAATAACTTTTGTATACAAACAGCAATACTTTCCTAAATCTTAATCAATAATTAACTGCTTAACGTATACTTTTCTATCCTCCTTATAACCGCTATTATTGCTAAATTGACTAACAATTGACGTTTTGTATACAAACTGTAGCCATCCATCATCATGAATTGGGGGAAAATTCAGTTTTTTATTAATTAACAAAAAGTTGACCAAGTAACGGAATTAAAGAAATGTCTTTTTGCACTATGAATTCCTATTTTGATCCAGAGAACTTTCTAAATGTCAAAACTAACATTTGATTGCATTCATATTAAATAAAATTATCTTAATTTTGATGCAAAGTGTGTTTATTAATAAAAACAGTTACATGTTGCGCCCAATATTAAATTCTTATAATTCCGAATCCCAAAATCGACAAAAATATTCCTTTAATTCCATTACAACGGTCAATAACAAGAAGATTAATCTATAATTAGGTACTATTCCTTTTTCATTTGGTTAGTTTACATGTCATGTCCTAATCTGTCCATTTCGGATAGCAAGAAGTCGACGTCTCGTTCTGTAACCGCAGCAGAAGATATGATGTTCCGGAAGAAATTGGGTCGTCTATCATCAGGTTGGTATCCAGTCATCAAGGTACCTTCTTCCATCATTTTGGCTTTCAAACGCGGGCACATCTGCAAGAGAGTAGCGTTTATATATTGTCAATTATCCTGTATATTATATTTTTTCTGTGCAGAATCGTCAAATTAAAAAAAATGTTTATTTAATTAGAAGTATAAAAAATTACCTCTCCAAGTTTCTTTTCCCTTGCTGGAGTGTGGGGTTCATTTCTTAGCCGTTTTGGTATGTACCAGAAACTGACGTTGACCATTTCTGGTTCCATGATGAGATAGAATTTGTCTGGTTGTTCTTTGATGCGTTTCACCAAATATTCAGTCAGTTCCATGAGTCTATCCATGTGTTGTTCAAAACCTTCATCACCCTTGAAAGATATAA